TACGGCAAATTGGTGAGTTGTGTATTAATGGAAACATCTAAGTAAAATGATGGAAGTGATACCTTTGGTTAATTTATTTTAACAAAATTCCCTGGTGTCCAACTCCATGATTTGGGAGTAAAAACACTCAAAACATGGATTATCCAGTACTAGCAGTAATCGAGGTTAAAAAATGTTTTGACGCTGCCCTAAACCGTGCACGTGGATTCATGCACGAGAGTCTGCTGCCAATGCATGTAATAGTCCTATTTTTCAGGTATGAGTGGTTTCTACTGTCCTTTAGCTACTTAATTGCAATTATGATTACTTCTGAACCATATGATTTACATATGCTATGCTCATAACTGTTAGTAGCATCAGAATTTAAAAAAAATTACACGTTTGAATTGGTCTAAAGTTTCCAAATACCTAAAATTCTGGAGACAAACGAACAAAGTCTTTTGGGTTTCAATTTAAGATAGCATTTAATTGAATTAAGATTAATTACGCATTAAGTTGTATTCCTAAGTTGTGCCAACGAAAAGAACCGTTAAAATATGATAGATTGTGTAATTTCACATTAAATATTATTATTAATGAAAGGGAACGCGCAGTCTTCCATTAATTCCTGTCAATATTCAAAATAAAAACTTTAATTAATATTCACTGAGTACCTAATTGATTTAATGCTGTGTAATCCGAACTGACATGGTTTGAAGGAATTTAAAATAAAACTTTGAAACAATAGACTTGGTCAGTATCGGTGTTAAGTTATAGCATAGTGTAAGAATTTAAAACATAATATGTTCTGGCACATCGTCATAGGTAATTCGAAGTTTTTATTTAACAAATATTGTAAGAATTGTATTATTGTAGGTACTATGTACATTGTTATATAACATCTGACCAGATAAGATTTCTGTTGCTTATTCCATCATCATGCAAACGAATTGAAATCAGATGATACGACGGAAAACACTGTTTTTGTAAACACAAAATATAAAACCTTTTTAAAGTTTGTCGACCTAAACAACTGAAACGAACTATACATAACTACATATTCTGAAGATTTTAACGAATGATAGAAAAAGTTTTGTGTGGGAAGTCCCTTACTTAAATTTGTTGAAACACCTAAACCTTACGGAAAAGATCATCTTTTCATTGAATTGACATTCAATGTGTCAATCAGTTTAACACTGAATCTTACCCTGCTTTACCTAAAAATGCGATCCGTTCACATTTCGAGGAATTTATTGCGATAAGGGAAGTACGGTAACTTTAAAAATAGTTATTTAAATAAAAGTCAAGAAAATGAAAATGACACATTACTGGCGAGGAAATATTGAAGTACGAGGCCCCTTTGGACCCCGAGTCAGGTAGAACTTTTGATTAATGACAATCTGTCAGTGATGACAGGAGTCATCATAGACATTTAGTTTCGGTTGATTTTGGTTAAAATATATGTAACCGTTAAAATTCGAGATGCCCAGTCGATATTTGGGTGTATCAGGTGGTTTACACAACATCATACGATGACATCGGTTGGTATATTTAAAAATGTTCTGAAAAGCAAATCAATATAGAATGTGGGCATAAGAGAAGGAACAAATGAACTATGAATGAGATCACACATATAGAACGCCATCTTCAGTGATTTTCCTAAAGACGATTACGTCTAGACGTGGGACAAGTTTCATTGATTTCGGGTGAATAATGGGACAATAAAAATCGGCTTGAATGCGCCTCGTATTGAGTTGATTAATGATCTAAAATTTGCACTCCTTTCCTGAAAATTATAAGCAAAAAGGTTCTAAAACATCAAATTTGTATAGAAGGGAGAACAAATTTAACTTATACATTTATTTCATCAGCCTGGATGTGATGTGGAATCACTTAAAAAGTAATAAGAATGTAATGTATTGGTCTTTCCCAAATTTATTTACTCCACTCGTTTCTGGCTTACATACACATGTGTTGCGGCCATATAATTTTGATGGCCATTATCAAAGCACTAAAGTTATATTGTATAATATAAATTAAACAAATTGTGGTTAATAATGGTTTCTCTTTGACTACATTACAAAGAACTGTCAACAAGAAGAAAAATAAAATGCAGCAGATGATCCAGAATCAGAAAACAATTATGAATATATCCGTACCAATAACATCAGATTCAATTATTACAACTTTCAAGAACTCTAATTTCAAATTAGGTGCCTTGTAATGAATAGAATTCGGACAATGTGGATCAATTTGGATCTAGTGACTAGCTTTCAACAATTCAAGTAAGCAAGTACAGGAAAGTAGTATATTTTCGGATAGTGTCCTAATTTCAAATAACAAGCCATTTCAGACATTAGACAGTATGAAATATCGAAAACATCTCCTTATCGAAGGTTAGTTATATCTCATATTTCGGTACTTCGGTAAGACGGCAGCAGAATAGTTATAAAACGTCGCGTTGTGAGGAGTTATATTGATTTGTGTGTTTCAGCTTTTTAGTGCAAAAAGCATTTGCAACTTCTTATTTTTGGACCTGGGTTAAAGTTAAAATGTTACTTAGTATCACTAGCTAGTCACGAGGAATCAATTACTAAAATGCAGGATACAATAAAATGAAGACTGTAAAAGACATTAAAACGAAGAAAATAGTCAAAAGAAATACAAAAGAAAAGAATTACAGTAGCAATGATTCATCAGATTCTGGATGTGAGCCAGTGTTGGTTGACGATTCGCATATAGATGTTGACGATGAGGACGCAGAATGTATGTGGACTCGAAAGAAAGTCACTGTAACAGTGTTTCATTTCCATGTACCGTAGAAACCACGGAAAAACTCGCACAAAAAATGAAATAGGCGAAGGGTGGTGTTGAAAAGGTAAATAACCCCAGAAATTTTATATATTTCATTGCAAAAATAAATAACACATAAACTGGACTGGACATGAACTTCCAAAACCAAATGTTGTGTCAAGTCACTTAACACTGCAGGATTTTGAACAGCTTTGGAAATCTTAACATCTCAGACGCTTTAGCCTCGGTTAATTGGAACCGTAGGCTCTAGAACCTATAAGGTTCAAAATATCCATTGATGACCAAATATTGACGTGGGCGAAGAGATTTACAAGACACTGGAAGATCGCATGCAAGGTTTTAAGAATTTTTCAGTCGGTTTCATCAACAGAACTTAGGTACGTTTTACTAAAAAAAATCGGGTTTGATCACCAGCAAGTACACGGTTCACAAAATTCTTATAAGTCGAAATTTTACTGGGTACTTTTGGCCCTGGGCGTGAACTTTACGATAGTCCTCAGGCAATCAAAAACGCATCAAGAATATCCATCATAGAAAAAAATTATTAATTACATATCCAAGGATGAAGAGATCCGTTCAGGACAAAGCAAGCGAAGGAGAACACAGCCGTTTAACTCCGTCAATCTAAAAATTCTTAGAAAAAAATTGCTCTTCAAATTAGAAAAGTATGCTTCTTCTTATCTCTCCATTCTAGTTTAGAATTATGAATTTTATTGTGATCAATTCAGGCCAATAAAGTATCAACAATGTTTGTTCCAAAAAATTGGTTTTGAGAATTTATACAATAAACGTGCTGCTTTTGTGAAGTGCTATAAGGCGGTATTTCTAAGTGTATGAACATAAATTCAAGAGACATGGTCGTTCTCTATCTGTTAGTGTTAAAGAGAATCATTTTTTGTAAAAAGAAAATAAACAACTTATAAGAAATTGCTTGATATAATATTATTTGTTTGTGGTTCGTACATTAAAATGCAGTTTCGCGCACATTTTACAATCCTAAAATCCGTTCAAAGTACTTAATTCTAGCGATGGCATTTACTTTGCCATATACGAGTCATTTTTGGTAATTTACAGATACCAAACCCGTACTAAGCAGCACCCCCTTATCCTAAATTCCGATGTTTATTCGAACCATACAACAACGTTATAATGTTTTCTCTATATAAGCCGTTCAGCAAAAGGATGTAAAGAAGATTATTCACAGCTCCCCCATTGTAAGTAGAGGTAAAATTATATCACAATGCAGTAATTTTCTCACAATGAGAAGATATTTGCAAATCTCACTTTTAGGGACACCTTATACAACAGTTTTTCATCTTCCGGAAGTTTATTGTAAAGGCATTAATCGGTTACATAATCATATGTACAAAAAAAAATAGTTGAGAAATTCAGGATGTGTCCTCATTTATTATAATAAAAATACTCACGTGTAATGCTTTCATCAGTACAAAAGACTTGTAAATGATCAACGGTAACTTAATAAACAATTAATTTACCCAATGCAATAAATGAACTGTAATATAAAACCATTGTATAATTTATTGATGCTCATACGCTAACATTACCAGTTCTACCGCTTTCACTTAAGAATAATGAACTTACACTGGACAAACATTCGCTTAATTAGCGTAAGCGTCGGTAATTACCATAATTTCTGTGTAGCAGATTTAGTAGATAATAACGCAAAGTTGTATTCAATCGTACTGTCACAAGAAATTAGAAATCATTGTGGTACAATTGCAATGTCACAGTCATTAACGCGTAAGTGGTTCTTTTATTTTTTTAAGTCCCACAATCCCTTGCGTAATCTATTCATTAATCTACCTTTGCTTCAGATAACCACACGAGTAACTACATTATGGATGGTTAAAGCTATAATGCGATAAAAATGCACCATGACAAATTGAAGGATGGTTCTGCATCCACTCTAGTATTGAACTTGAACGGTCAACATCAATAAATGCTTGTGCTGAGAGGGTAAATTTAATTACATTGGATCGCTGGCATATTAAGTTCCATAAAATACAGTGACGAGGGATTAGAAAATAAGAAGTTATGGTCTTTTTGAGTCGAAACCGCAAGGTATAACTTATCTTGTTGGCATCAGAAGGCATGAAGTACGGTTACGTTTTATTGTATTACGTAATAAAACCCGCAACGCTTTCTAGAACATTGGAAAAAATTATTTCTTATTAAAAAATAAACACTTAAATAGGTACTCTTTATTTACGTATTGTTTAAAATAAAAACCAACCTTGTCCAAGCTATTAAGGCACAATTTTACCATAATTCGTAGGTTTGTATGAATGTAGGCAAAATTAAAATTAGGTGCGAGAATATTTGGAAGCTATTCAAGGTTTATATTTGTAAATGCGGGCCCACATTCAGCGAGGAATTGTACAAAACAACAGATCTAATGCGGTTCCAGCAAGGTACGATGATCTACTAATTTACTATGCATGGGCGAGCCGTTTCTGATAATGAAGATTTCAAAATTTTGCTCCATATAACCCATCGTGTAACCTTTCCTTAAGAATGTTTCATAGATGTTGGCCAATTTGACTTTTACGCCCATTAAAAATAATTGAACAATTACAATGTACGGCAATCCCATTACAGTGAGCGAAGATCACGAGTCGTTTCAGACCTACCTACAAATTTTACATCAAAAGCATGTACAGATCGCAGCGATAAGTAGTTGTATTACCAAAAGCAAAAAGAAGCCTAAATACTTATTCAAAATACTCATTTACAAGTAAGTATGCGAATTACGCACGGAAGCTTGAATGTACCAGTTTCATTGACAACTCATGTACGTTACAACAATGCACATGTAATTAGTTCAAGGATATTCATCTTGGTTACAACTATTTAGCATAATATAAGTTCCAATCAAAGATTACCAGTTAACACTATCCTTTATCGATTATAATTGGATACAATATACACTACTTGGGTAAGAATCAGGTAACCAAAACGAAGGGTTAATGGAGTATGTACTTACTTCGATATGTGTTTTGAGGATATCCATAGCTGAACGATATAACGGTCGTAAGAGCCAAAACTAACGACAACCTCATGGTTAATGCTATGTACACTGCCCGTTAACTGACACAAGTCCCGATTGCATTAAACGTTGTACGAGAACTTTCTACTTATTTTATAATCTACGAAACGGAAGGTTTCCCCCTACTTAAGCAATATTGTTGTTACCAGATGAGTGCATCAATCTATTTTCAATTAAGTGCATTGATGTATGACCGGTTTATTGAGGAACTGGAAATAGTCTGCATCTGTGGGTAATGCGATGCACGTAATCAATAATTTTAAATAAAATCCACAAATTCGCCGGTTACCTACAGTTTATTGCTTTGTGTGCCCATGAATAATAAGGAATTCCGCATACCCTACCTAAAGCTAAGGGAGCGGCTGATTTTGAAATATTAGCCATTGAAATATTTTAAGGTGACAGCAGCTAGTGATATATCTTCGTTAACGGAACTGAGATCATGTACCTAATGCAGTTTGAAAGATATGACGCTAAGATTTTGCTGTTATAAAAGGAACACGCGATACGTCTGTGTCGACATTCGACAAGTCCACAAGTAATTTAGTTATTATGAATAAAGTGGCAAAAAAATGTTCTTCAACTACCCACATACATATGGTAAAGTAACTGAGAGTTTCGATGGAGCGATGCCCGATACGATACAGTTGTAGAAAAGGCCTAACAAATTTTAACTAGATAGCGTCAAAACTGCCACCTGTACTGATGTGACAAGGGTAGGTACGTTATTGGCAATTGTTTTAGGGAGCCCATCACGATCTCCTATGGTGACCATTTTTCCCCAATAAAAAACGCCTGCATTTTCTTCTCTTTACGAAATTGTACGCGATTATGACCAAAAATGTGACGTCGAGATACATTTTCACACAGAAATGTCCTTCAGTTCCCAATGTATTACCTGGTTTGTTGGTTTTCTGGGACTTGTTCCCACGATGTAGACTGTAAAGCGTTACTTCGAATAACGACATTAATAGATTGACGAAAACGAGATAGCTACCCAAAAGCAGTTCATCGAAAAGGAACAAACCATTCCCATTTATATAACTGGTGAGCTCTATTTTAATTGAAAGAGACATTGGACCACGCACCATTCCTTCTGCTTGAGACCGCTCGCGTTTAACGCCTTCTTAAACAAGTCGTTCCAAAATTTTATTTGGCTACTGGTCCATGTTAGCTAATCTTGCTTGGTTTTCATGATTGATATAGTCAGACCGTTTGGCCATGTTCCTTGTTTATGTCGCCAACCATACCAGGGGTGGCGAACCGGACCGTCGTCGGGCAACTGAGCAAAAAACCAATGGACCAACTAAATAAAGACTTGTGAAGTAATAATCAGCAGCCAACGACATCCCACATGCCGAATATTATTTCCGATCTAATATTATTTACATGATTTTTTTTCCAGCAACATTTTGTGGCACAACAAGTGTCAAGACAGTGCATTGTGATTCTTTAAGAAAGACGGACGTGTTTTTTAAATGCCGTTATTATTATTAATAGAACCTCGTGGCACTCCTATACTAATTTTTCGAAAGTTTGACATTGCACCATTTACCTTAGTACATTGAAATCTGTTCGATAGGTATGATGCTATTAGATTACAGCTAAGTTTATCAAAATTGTAGTGATATTTTAATTCACTAATTAAAATTGAATGTGAAACGCAGTCAAAAGCGCTATTAATTTAACATGGACGACGTCATTCTTCTATACGTGGATGGAGAAGGCCTTATGTGTTGGGTTCACCCAGTCAGCGCATGATTGGTTCGCTTCCGATTTTTTTCGCCAAAATTTAACCATTTGTTAATTTCAGTTCACGAAAAAAGGAAGAAAATTAACAAAATTATATGTCCCCCCGTACTGAATTTATTTATTTATTTCCCTTTTTTCGCATCGCTTTAAGCCCGTGTTGCAACCGGTGCACGAGTGCCATTTGATTCTGAAGGAAGCGCGTCGCTCGCAACGTTGCGATACCTACGTTGCGAATCAAAATGTTCCGTCCGGTGGGTTTCCAGACTGCACTCCTAATATTTGTAAATATATCCCACATTTTGTGAAACGCACGTGGATGATATGTGTTCTGCCGGGACATCTCTCAGCATAGACACTTCTGACAAACAATTCCGATAACGTTCTCCAAAAATAAATATCATATCAACCAACGATGTAAAGATCCTTCTTGGAAACTGCAAAATTTATCTTTTCATTCGTTTACCCAAAATTGTCATGAAACGTTCATTTTAATGCCTACTTTATGTCCGGAAATTTTAGTTCCCATGACAGAGGCAGACCACACTATGTTTCCTGCCGCCTGTAATGACTCCTGTCATCACTGACAGATTGACATTAATCAAATGTTCTATATAAAAATTGAATTTTATACGACTTCGAGTAAAATTTAATACAAAACTCGTCAGTAAAATGGCAATACTTGACTCGGAAATTAAAGTACTCGGCCCCAAAGAGGCCTCGCACTCTAACATTTCCTCGCCAGTAATGTATCATTGTACAGAAGAAGAAGATTATCAATTGGTTACTTATTACTAAGTAAAATTCGTCCGATCTTTTTGAAAATCCGTATTTGGTCACTTACTTTTTATAACAAAACAATGACAAACCCGATCACCGTAGATTTTATAGTTATTGCATAATTAAATAAACAAATTTACAAAACGATGCTTGGTCTTTCAAACTAGGTGACTCCCAGAGCGTTCTATATTTTTTTTTCAGATGGTGGAATCCTAAGACAACATTTTCCAAAAATTGTCCCGATGATTCTTGCAAATTGATGGACTGTGGAATTTTTTTTAGTTATCTAACAAATTGAATATCTCCCGAAATATAACAAGGAAGATTACTCTATAATAGGCCCTTGGCGTTCTGATTAATAAAAATCATACATTTTGGTAAAATAGAAGCATTAAAAAGCTCACCCTTTAAACAATCGTTCGATGCGACCCGATTTGCAAAATCATTTTTTGTTGTGTCGAAAACAAGTCCGAAGTCAAAAGCTGATTTCTCGTGCCCTCGGATTTGGACGTATTTTTTTTAATGTAGGTCTTTCCAGAATCAACGGCACAATTGTTGAAAAAGGTTGTTTTAGGGTTCACTAACTGTAAAAAAATTGAGAACGCTCTGGGAGTCATCCTTTTGGAACTGCAAAATACACTTTATCGGGAATATATCTAATAGTGTTTTTGCACTTTGGTACAAGACAATACCTATAAAATGGTTTTACCATGGTCTGAATAGCTATTACAACTGACAATCTGTTTAAATAAATCAACTCTAAAAGTAAAGAAATACTGCGGTCGTGGCTTGTGACGTCATCCAAGGCCCGCTGAAAATGTGGCGGCGTTTATACACATCGAATAAAGTCAACGTTTTAAATATTATTTTCCAAGTTAAATTGAATTGTTATAACAGTGTTTACACTTTTTACTGTGTTAGAACGATGTAAAAAAGCGATTAAAAAATTTAAAAAAATACATGCATATTTCCTATTCAAGAAATATCCATCTCTTGCGCTTATATCTCACATTCTGAAATTTACCTCGGCTGAATTTTCTCCAACTACGTCTACCACTATTATGAATACACTTCATATCATCTGCCATTATACCGGGTGAATATTTCAAAACCGAACATAGGGAATTAACATGGGAAAAAGGTTTTTTGCAGATCGTTGCTCCCCATGTTAACTTAGAGGGTTTATTATAAATCAGTTTAAGGCATTACTAACATAAGACAAAAGTAGATTCAAACGTTATTAAAGTCGAAATCAATATGAGTTTATGACATTTTCATGCCTACTTTCTGTCAGGAAATTTTAGTTTCCATGACAGAGGCAGAGCAGACTACATTTCCTGCCAATTGTTACTTTACTGACCTCATCTGTCACTTTACCGTCCGCGCCGTCACTTTACCGGCAGCATCTGTTACACTGCTAAACGTCTATAATGACTTCTATATAAAAATTGAAATTTTATAAGAAAATACGATTTCGGGTAAAATTTAATACAAAACTCGTCAGTAAAATGACATTACTTGACTCGGAGATTAAAATACTTTAAATTAAAAAATTAAAGTACTCGGCCCCGCCTCGCCAGTTATGTGTCATTTTCCGGACTTTTATGTTAATAACTATTTTTGTAAAATGTATTTCACTAAGGAAATAATATATATTGTTTACCAAGGACGAGAAGTGAATTTTCACTCACAAGTCGGTAGTTTTACGTACGACGCGCCTTTAGACGCCGAGTACGGAAATTTGGATGTGTCAGCGGACCTCACTCATCCGTGGTAAATACTAAATTTTTTTATTAGTATGCTGGAATTGCTTGTATATTAACGGCTAGTCAATACAGCCATAGAAATCAAAAGAAGCAGAGAAGCGGAAAAGAGGCAAAAAAGTAAATTTTCTCTGTCTCTTTTCCGCTTCTCTGCTCCTAGCAACGAAACACAAACAATACTTCGCAGCTTGAATATGATCAGCGAAATGTCTCGTTTGACGTACGTATTAAAAAAAGTATTTACAATAAAAAACGTTTATAGCGAAAATAATTACTCTAGTACGCCATATTTGTTTTCCGTGCATTTTTCATAAGCGTCCCATTCCGTCTGTGTCAAAAGCTATTTTCAGTTTGTACTGTCGAATGTTTTGTTTCTTATGGTTTAGTTAAATTGTACGAGACTCTTTCTGATTATAATGAGACTAACA